TAGATTAAGGAGAGTCTGAAGGAGAGGAACATCAGGTTATGGTGACTATCTTCCGTCTGACCCCACAGAGAAGGTTCGCACAGCGCTGGCAGGAAGATGAGCTTTTTGGCTACCAGTTCCTCAATGGCAGCCAACCCCATGCTGCTGAGACCGCTCCACCTCTCTGCCCCTCCCGGCTGGTGCTACCCTCGGAGATGGAGGAGCTTCAGGCCCAGCTGGAGAAAGAACTCCAGGTACAGCCTCCAGCCCCCGATTTTCTTCTCCCTGTCTGTGAGGTGGTGAAGGGAAGGAACCAAAGTTGAGTCTGGAAAGAGAGGCTGTGGTAACCCACTGTCCCTGGGTATAGAGTCCTCTGCTGGGAAAACCTATAGGTGAAAATGTAGGGAAAAGCATCAAAGCTGGATTCTGCCAATAAAGCTGACCATTAGGAGATGGTGGAGAAAGGAGCTTGGGCAGCCTGACCAGGGGAGAGCGGGGCATACCTGTGGGACAGAAGCAATGGGCATACTTAACCCTAAAACTGCCTCTGACACAGACAAGCTGCATGTCTCTAGGGAAGCTTCCTTCCATGGGGTCTTAGCCCTCCCTCTAAAATAAGAGAACTTGAACTTGATGCTCTGGTACTTCCTTCACTTCTGCCACTGGGACTCAGGTACTAATAGGGGATAATGACAAGAAAGTGGATGTCTTTACATTTCTTCCCCTTTGCCTTGGACCTGTGGATGTATGCTTTCAACTCTAACCCTGGATTCATTCCTCTTTCCTTAGAATGGTTCCCTGTTTGAGGCTGACTTCATCCTGCTGGATGGAATTTTAGGCAACGTGATCCAAGGAGAGAAGCAGTACCTGGCTGTCCCCCTTGTCATGCTGAAGATGGAACCCAGTGGGAAGCTGCTGCCCATGGTCATCCAGGTGAGGTATCCTCAGAAGCCTCTGCCCAACGCTGCTCTATGTTCATCCCCAACCTCTGCCAGTGGACAAAGACAGCAGGCTGTCACCCACCCCTGCATTGTTCAGTGACATCTATCCTTATATCCAATATCTCCTTTCTACCTTACAGCCTACTCACTACTCACCTAGAATTGCCTATTTGAGAGTCAGAATGCTGATAGTTCTCACCATAAGATTATCTTTTTTGACCTATGATTCTGTGGAATATCCCTTCTTTCTTAGACATATTTTCTCCCTTGGTTGTAATGTGTTTTCACACTTACTGTTCTCATCAATCAGTTCATAGGAACTGTTATTTATCTCACGTGTCCACCTTCTCCTTCTGATTCTACCATCCTAACTCTCACCTTCATCAAGTTTCCTTCAGTCATACTAGACACCTCTTTCCAATTCCTCCTGCTTTGAACCTGAGCATCATGGCACTGACACTTCCCCACAGCACTTGAGAGGATGAGTAGAAGGGCCTTCATTCCTCCGACTATATTATAATCCCTGGGAGACAATAATCAGTCACCAGTGTTTCCCCCAGAATAATAAGCATAGCTTCTAACACAGGAAGAAGCCAATGAATGCTTAGCTTCTCTTGGTTTCAGATCCAGCCTCCCAGCCCCAGCTGCCCCACCCCACCACTGTTCCTGCCCTCAGATCCTCCCCTTGTCTGGCTCCTGGTAAAGATGTGGGTCCGAAGTTCAGATTCCCAACTGCATGAGCTCCAGTATCACTTGCTGAGCACTCATCTGCTGGGTGAGGTCATCGCTGTGGCCACCATGAGGTGCCTCCCAGGACTGCACCCTGTCTTCAAGGTACATCCTCTACCCTCCTTGTCCCATCTCCCTCACATCCCAGAGGAAGGAAACAACACAACAGTTCTCTAGAATTTAAAAAGCATAAGCCACCTGTTTGGGAAGAAGTTAACCAAGCTTCTTCTAATTGAATGAGTATCTGCGTTGATGTAATAAAAAAAATATTTGTGATTTGTAAACAGACAAGAGGCAATTATTGTGTCAGGACCTTGCACCTTGTGGCTTTATTTTTAAAGTTTAAATTATTTTATTTTGAGATAATCATATGTTCTTATGCAGTTTGAAGAAATAATACAGAGAGATGCCAAGTTACTTAGCATACATTCAGTACTTATTGTAATGCAGTTCTGATATTCTCCAGCAGAGTGTGCTGTAGAGCAGGAATGTAATTTCATAAATAAAAAGTATTGCTCTGCTTCACAGAGTTAGCATTTAACTGGCAAGACAAACGGTACACATGAAAAATAACCAATCAGCTGGGGAGAGGTCAATGGGGGGAGGGTAGGGGAAAGGAGACTTGTGTAATACTTTAAACTATAAAGAATTTAAATTTAAAAAAAAAATAAGAAGAACCATGGAACAGAATCTGGATATAAAGGTGAAATCAAGACAGAAAGCAATCAACACCACAGCTTAGGATTCATTAAGTAGAAGATCAAAGGAATAAAAGACCAGCCCAAGGACTTATTTAACCTGCCCAATGAGAGGTGCATGACATGGTCGTTAAACCAATGGAAAGAAAATGCAAAGACTTTGTGATGAGAGGAAATAGTAGTTGCATCATGCCCAGCGTTACATAGGCTAAATGTGACAAAAAATAGTAGTTCTTGCTATTTTTTTAAATATATTTTTATTGATTTTTTACAGAGAGGAAAGGAGAGAGAGAGAGAGAGCTAGAAACGTCAATGAGAGAGAAACATTGACCAGCTGCCTCTTGCACACCCCCTACCGGAGATGTGCCTGCAACCAATGTACATGCCCTTGACCGGAATAGAACCTGGGACCTTTCAGTCTGCAGACTGATGCTCTACCACTGAGCCAAACTGGTTTTGGCAGTAGTTCTTGCTTTTATGATTAGTTCTTTGTCTTCTGGTTTCTTCCCTCCTCATGTAGACTTGGGGTTTCCTTTGACACTCAGCATCTTTAATAGTCTTTCTGAGGTTTCAGACCAATGTGAATTGCTTTGTTATATTGGTTCCAATTATTTCAGTTGGGTTCTTCCCTCTCTGCAGCATCACCAGCTCACATAAATAACAATATTGCATGAATCCCCCATCACTGGATGAAGACAAAATTGTTTAAGACAAAAGGAAATACACATGAGGATCAGATCGCCTTTTTGAAGGGCAAAGGAAAGCAGGAGAGAGGGCCCTAACTAACAGTGCCTAATTGGAGGTGGGAGGAGATTTGACAATAGCCCCTCTGCTGTTAAAGAGGGTAGATCAATAAGGTTCTTTTAATTCTTACTGAAAGTCCCCTACCCAATCCAAACCCAAAATTTTATTTATTTTTTGTAAATATATTTTATTGATATTGTACAGAGAGGAAGGGAGAGAGATAGAGAGCTAGAAATGTCGATGAGAGAAAAACATTGACCAGCTGCCTCTTGCACACCCCCTACCGGGGATGTGCCCGCACCAACGTACATGCCCTTGACCGGAATCAAACCTGGGACCTTTCAGTCCGCAGACCGATGCTCTACCACTGAGCCAAACTGGTTTTGGCCAACCCCGAAATTTTAAAAATGCAAGAGTAAAATAACTAAAGTTTGGAGGAGCAACTTTGAAAATTAATAGAAAGGCTAGTTTAAACTGTAAGGATGTGTATGATAGAAAAATCTTTTTTTAAAATCCAAAGATAAAGGACTGATTCTCAAATGACACCTATACTCTAAGTGGGGATAATAATAACTACTATTTAAGGACATTTGTGTGCTAGGCAATGTACTGAACACTCTCATATGTTATACACATAAGCATCACCACAGCGCCTGCGATGCGACTCTATTGTCATCCTCTGTAAATAAAAAAAGAGATGGGTGTTTAGAGGGTTTATTATCTTGGTCAAGTATCAAATTAAGTGGTGAAGTGTATATTAAAGTCCAGGTCAGTCAGACTCCAAAGCTCAACTCACAGGGGAAGAGGAGAATATGAGACTAGAGATCAGAGAGGGAGGAGACTACCTGGCAAAGGCACCAACAGGTAGGAAAGCATCAAGAAAAGAGGGAGAGAAAGCCACATGCTGAGTGCTGCTCACTAATAAGGATCCAAGCATGTCCTCCATAAAGCACCCCTCCACCCTTCTCCATCCAGCTCCTGATCCCACACACCCGCTACACCCTGGACATCAACACCAGGGCACGGAACCAACTCGTCTCAGAAGGAGGCTTATTTGATAAGGTAAGGAGGAGGATTGTGGGGCCACCCAATCACCCAAGTCTGCATGACCTCCTGTCACTTTCAACATTCCAGGCCCCGCTGTGTGACTGTCCTGACCCTTTAACCCAGGAGCCTTGCCCCTTTAAACCAATGTCATTGAATCTGAAAAGGCCACATCTGACCACTTTACATACTATGCCATGTTTTCTGGTTCTGTTTGTCCCCTCAAGTCCTCTCATTTCTGTTGTCACAGGCATGGAGCACAGGTGGAGGGGGCCATATATAGGTGCTCCATCAGGCCATGGCTAAGCTGACCTACCGCTCCCTCTGTCCTCCTGACGATCTGGCTGACTGGGGCCTGCTGGGAATCCCAAGTGCCCTCTATGCCCATGATGCTTTTCAGCTCTGGGAGATCACTGCCCGGTGGGTGAGAGGTGGAGAAATAAAAGGACATTGGGAACAGTGAGAATGGGGCTTTAACCTGAGGTCACCATGAGGCCAAAGAAATATGAAAGAAGAAAGTCCAGAAAGGAGAAGCAAAGGAGTCTATTGAGAAGAGATGAGGAATAGAAAGTAGGATCTGAGGATGTCAAGGCTGAAATAGACAATATAAGTGAACAGAGTTGTATGGGTGAGTAAACCTAAGGGATCTGGGGGAATCAGACACCTATACTAAAGTTAAAGAGGGTAGACCATTTTGTTATGAAGAGTGACTATGAACCATGTGTTTGCAATGCTATTATATATTTATTTATATTGATTTCAGAGAGGGAGAGAGAGAAAGTTATAGAATCACCAATAATGAGAATCATTGATTAGCTGCCACCTGTTAAGGTAGGGGTGTCGAACTCAATCAGAGAAGGGGCCAAAATCTAAAATCCAGCCTAAATCGCGGGCCGAATGGTTTACTGAACAATCATAAACTGTCATTGTGATGGAAACGCAGCGGAGTGCAGTGATGACAGCGCGGTGCGGGCCACATTGCAAGGCCTGGCGGGACGGATTTGGCCCGCGGGCCTTGTGTTTGACACATGTGTGTTAAGGATCTAGCCAGCAACCCAGACATGTGCCCCAACTGGGAATTGAACTGTCACCTCCTGGTTCATAAGTCCACACTCAACCACTGAGGCACATTGGCCAGGCAGAATTCTTAAAACTAACGTCCCACATTTCCTTTCTAAACTAGCGTGTAGAAAGACCTTCAGGGTGCCCCAAAAGGAAAGTCTTATCAGATCTGTCCTCAGGTACAGTGAGAATCAGCTGGATAGACACCACAGAAAAGAAGTAGCAGCCAGAGACTAGAGCTTTCTACTCTCAAGGAGCTCAGCTCCCTTCTCCTCTGGGCAGGTACGTGGAGGGGATCATCCACCTCTTCTACCACGGGGATGACGTCGTGAGAGGGGACCCTGAGCTGCAGGCCTGGTGTCAGGAGATCACTGAGGTGGGGCTGTGCCAGGCCCAGGACCGAGGTAAGATCCCTCCCCAGAGAAGGGAGCTCCTAGACCCTCTGACTAGAGGCCCTTTTCAGTCTTGCCCCTCTGGGACCATGACCCCAACCCCTCATCAGCCATGTCCCACCACACATGGAGCATCTTATTCCCATTCCCACTTCCTAAGTCTCAGGACAATTCTAGAAACCCAAGAATTGGCCTCCCCCTCCTTTTCAAAGAGGCCCTAACCTGCCATAGGGACTAATAAGGCCAGAGCCATAGTCAGTAAGGGATCTGCCCAGGCCCTGCCAGGCTCTCTTCCAATTATTGTCTGTTTTCTTTATTAAGGATAGAAATGGGGGGCCCATGAAATCCTACCCTAGCTTTCCCTCCCTTTTTTCCTTCTTAATACTGTCCAGCACTCACACAGGATCCAGACATCCTACACGCCTGCCAAGTGCAGGGCCATTTCTAGATGTAGTCTCAGTACTGTATATATTTGACTTGAACCCAAACTCAGTGTCATGATCCTTGGGACTGAAGTTTCTTAAAAAAAAAAAAAAAAAAAAAAAAAAAAAAAAAAAAGTGTACTCCTCACCAGTGAACTAACCACCTGTAGTTCCCCTACCCCATTTTAAATTGATAACTAAGAAATAGCCTTTCTTGAGCTCTTCCTAGATTCATATTTCTCTCTCTCGTACACATAGGCCAGAAGAGTCTGTTTTGAATCATCCTTTAGCTCCTTCCCCCTTCACTCTTCACACCAATACCTTGAATGCCTTACACTCTCTCTGTGCAATAACTGTCGCCAACAGCTAAGATCTATTACTTATAACCGGGCCCAGAGGATGCACACATCATAAACCACACGCCTACCATGGATTGGAGTCCTATCTCAAAGCATCTGGGGCTGTACCTTCCCCATTCATCCAAGAACACCTCCAAAATCCTTCACGACCAAAACCTCTGTAGTATGTCTCATTTCTGGCCATCAGGCTCCACCTGATCCAAAACACCCTTCTCATTCTCTCTTTCATGCTTCTGCCCGTGAAATACCCACATCAGAGCACTTGTAAACCTTATTCGAATGTGAGCTTTAACCTCTTGCACCCACACTGTGTCTCCAGCAATTTTCATGGTTGTCTTTGTGCCATCCTTCGCTCATCACCCTCATTAAAGGCAGTGTGTTGAGATTTTCTCTTCCCAGACCTCTGCTTGAGAAAGCTATTTAATCTCATTGGCTTTTAATATCCTTTCACTGAAATGAATGTATTTCTTCTCCCAATTGAAATAATGTGACAAAGTTGAAACATGTAAAACAATCAATATAAAATTATTGTGATCCTATGCCCCACTCCGAAAAATTACCTCCCGAATACAGTCAGCAAGTGTAATATGTGAGCAGGTCCTTAAACACCCTGAGCAGCATCTCAACTGTAAATTGAGTGGATTTGATGGTGTTCCAGTTCCAAAATGAGTCCATGACTGCTTTTTTTCTGCATCATAGCCCAGATACCTGGAACTGCTTTCCAGAAATTAGGAGAGCAACCTCGTATTCTTAACCGCGTTGGGGGAGGTTGGAAATTTTATTAAAATAATATACACTAAAAAAAAGTTAATGTTATAAATCATAGGCTACAACTTGAACTTTCAGTAAAGTGACATGCCTGTATAATTAGCACAAATTTAAAAACAAACAAACAAAAAAAAACCAACACATTACTAGCTCCCCAGAAAGCCCCTTGTGCTAGTCCAGTCTTTGCCCATCCAAAGGTAACCACTTCATACTGCACAGGTTAGTTTTACCTGTTTGAACTTTACACAAAAACATGCACTCACTAATGTCTCCAAATTGTTTGAAATTTACCCATGCTGCTGTGAAATGTAGCATGTAGTTCATTGTTCTCATTATATATTATTCTATTTTGTGAATATGGTAGACTTTATTTTTTTTCCTTTCTCCCATTGATGGGCATTTGGTTTGTTTCCATTTCGAGGCTATTAATGTCATTGCTGCTGTGAACAATGTCGTGTGTACAGTTCTGTTGGGTGTGTATCTAGAAGTGAAATTGATGGTCATAGGACATGTGTATGTTCTGCTTTAGTGGTTTCTGACAGTTTTCCAGTGTGCTTGTATACATTTACTCATCTTCCACAGAGTATGAGGTATAGTCAGTATCTTCTCAAATATTTGAAAAAATGCTTTGGTCATATTGTGAATGTTATGTTTTCGCATTATGAGTTTAAGTTGTATTCTCCTAGTGACTGGTAGAATCGAGGAACCTATCTTAGGTTTAGTAGCCACATGGATATTCTCCTTTATATAGAGCCTGTCACTCTCCTGAACCATTTTATTTTGGGTGTCTACCTCTCTCCTGTTGCTTTTAACACTTTTGAACACTGGATAGCTGATCAACCAGGTTCTCGGCCCTGCCCACTCTCTACCTTATAAACAAACATACCTACAATGGACTGAGGGGCTTTGCATGAACCGTCCCTTTATAAGGTAAGTATTATTATCTCTATTTTCATAGTAAAATAAACAGAAGCTCAGAGAAGCTAAGTAGGTAGTCCAAGGTAATGAGTTAGTCAGCAGCAAAGCAAGGACTAGTCTCTTGACTAAATTATTAGCTATCACCCCTTTACATCGCATATCTCCTTTCCCTGCCTTACTTATATTCTTATCACTATCTCAGACGCTGTGTATAATTTTACTTAGTTATTCTGTTTATTATCATTCTTCACCACTACAGTCTGTTTTGTCTATCAACATATTCCCAGTGCCTTTATAGTGTCTGGTACATAGTAGTACATGACTTTTTGAATAAATGAATAAATGAATGAACACTCACTAATTCTAATATATGGACATGACAAGATATCAGCATTTACAATATTTCCTCACTCCTTTGGAAATGCAGTGTCTAAGCTTTGCTCTTTTCTCTAGGTTTCCCTGTGTCCTTCCAGTCTCGGGCTCAGCTCTGTCATTTCTTTACCATGTGCATCTTCACATGCTCTGCCCAGCATGCAGCAGTCAACATGGGCCAGGTCTGGGTCTCTGAGAGAAAGCTTGGGGATACTTGAGGAACAGAGCTGAGGTCTAAGTTCCTGAATCAGAGTTTCTGAGTGACTCCAGATTCTTCTTCTTCCAGTTCGACTGGTATGCCTGGGTCCCTAATGCCCCAAGCTCAATGCGGATGGCCCCAACCACCACCAAAAAGGATGTCACAATGGACACAGTGATGGGCTCACTACCTAATGTCTGGCAGACCAGTCTTCAAATGTTAGCCACATGGCTCGTTAGCCGGTCTTCGCTAGACATGGTGAGAAGAAACCTCTGGAATTCTGATGGGATTGATGACTAACAAGGAGACATTAGGGTGAGGGACTGGAGTTTGGGTTCCTTTGTCTTAGAACTAGAAGATAATTGGTCCTTTCTTTCTGCTTCAGGTACCACTGGGGCATCACAAAGAAGAGTATTTCTCAGGTCCTGAGCCCAAGGCTATTTTAAGGCAGTTTCAGGCTGATCTGGACAACTTGGAAAGGGAAATCGAGGCCCAGAATGAGCAGCTAGACCTTCCCTATGAATACCTGAAGCCCAGCCTTGTAGAGAGCAGTATCACTATCTGAGCCCAAATGGGCTCATATATTCATATACTTGAGGCCCCCACCATGCTTAACATTTCCCCCTGATATTTACTGTTTTCATGGGTCTGAGTTGCTATGGTTGTATTTTCTCCTCTTGAGTTCCCTACCTAAATACCTCACCTGCATGAGGCATTGTCCTTACTTCCAGTTCCCTTAAGAGAATGATCTTTAACTTGAAACCAACTCCCTTAGAGAAATCAAATAGCTACTCATGTAATGTTTTCTTTCCTCTGGATATTTTGCCTTCTCTATTTGTCAATAAATCATTATATAATGGTATTACCTTATCATTGATACAAGTGATTTAAAGGTATTTTTAATGGTGTACCTAATTTTTAATACAGTGAGAGATATAAGTTAATTCCATTCCTTTTTTCTAATCTGGATATCAGTTATCACAGCACTGTTCATTGAAAAGCCCATCCTCCCTTATCATCTATAATGTTGACATAGATTAAGTTGCCATCTATCAATATAAATAAAATAGTTCTTAGCTTTCCAGTATTTATACCACACTAACATAATCACCACAGCTTTATACTTAACATAGCCTGCCTTTTACTGACATATTCATCCAATCTGTTCTTTAGAGGTACTTTAGCTTTCCTTGGGCTTCTGGCTTCCTAGAGGCCTGGCGCATGAAATTCGTGCATAGGTGCAGTCCCTAGGCCTGGCCAGTGATCAAAGCACCAGCATCTGGCATGGAAGGGCAGGTCCCAGCTGACCTCTGGGCCCTGAGTAGCACCTGGGTCCCCAAGCCCCACTCACTCCCCACCCCCGCCTGAGTCCCCACTCAAAGCAACGGTGAGTATGGCAGGATGACAAAGGATGGAGTCAAGACAGTCTCTTCAATAAATGGTGTTGGCAAAATTGGACAGATACATGCAAAAAAATGAAACTACCATAGATCACCAACTTACACCATACACAAAAATAAACTCAAAATGGATACAGGACTTAAACATAAAAGGGAAACCGTAAAAATACTAGAGGCATCCACAGGCAGCAAAATCTCAGACATATGCCAAAAGAACTTCTTCACTGATACTGCCCCTAGGGCAATGGAAGCTAAAGAGAAAATAAACAAATGGGACTACATCAAAATAAAAAGCTTTTGCACAGCAAAAGAAACCATCAACAATACAACAAGTAAGCCCACTGTATGGGAGAACATATTTGCAAACGTTATCACTGATAAAGGTTTAATCTCCAACATCTACAGGCAGTTTATACAACTTAATAAAAGGAAGATAAATGATCCAATAAAAAAAAATGGGCAACAGACCTAAATAGAATCTTTTCAAAAGAAGACAGAAGGAAGGCCAAGAGGCACATGAAAACATGCTCAAAGTCACTATCCAAGAGATGCAAATCAAAACAATTTGGTATCATCTCACACCTGTCAGAATGGCTATCATCAACAAATCAACAAATGACAAGTGTTGGCGAGGTTGCGGAGAAAACGGAACCCTCATGCACTGCTGGTGGGAATGCAGACTGGTGCAACCACTGTGGAGAACAGTATGGAGCTTCCTCAAAAAACTGAAAATGAAACTCCCATTTTACCCAGTAATCCCACTCCTAGGAATATATCCAAAGAAACTAGAAATACCAATCAGAAAGGATATATGCACCCCTATGTTCATAGCAGCATAATTCACAATAGCTAAGATTTGGAAACAGCCTAGGTACCAATCAGCAGATGACTGGATCAGAAAACTATGGTATATCTACACAATTGAATACTATGCTGCCATAAAAAAAGAAGGAATTCTTACCATTTGCAGCAACCTGGATGGGAACTGGAGAACATTATGCTAAGCGAAATAAGCCAGTCAATGAAAGAAAAATACTACATGATCTCACTCATCTGTGGATAATAAAAAACATTATAAACTGATGAACAAAAAGATAGATACAGAGGCAGTAAAGCATCAAACAGATGGTCAAATTGCAGTGGGAAGATTAGGGAGAGGCAGGGAAGATAGATCAACCAAAGGACTTGTATACATGCATATAAGCACAACGAATGGACACAAAACACTAGGGGGGGGGAAGGGGGGAGGTGAGTGCATGTATGAGAGTGGGGTGGGGAATGGGAGCAATGGTAATATATGTACACATATACTGTACCTTAATATTGCAATAGAAAAAAATGGGGGGAAATATATGGGCTGGGTATGGGGGAGTCATGTGACTAAATCCCTAGATTAAATAGAGCCTGAAAGAGAGGAACATCAAATTGTGGTGAATATCCTCTCCTAACCTCCACTGTGACCCCACAGAGAAGGTTCACCAGCGCTGGCAGCATGATGAGCTTTTTGGCTACCAGTTCCTCAATGGCGCCAACCCCATGCTGCTGAGACGCTCCACCTCTCTGCCCTCCCGGCTGGTGCTGCCCTCGGAGATGGAGGAGCTTCAGGCCCAGCTGGAGAAAGAACTCCAGGTACAGCCTCCAGCCCCCGATTGTCTTCTCCCTGTCTGTGAGGTGGTGAAGGGAAGGAACCAAAGTTGAGTCTGGAAAGGGAGATTGTGGTAACCCACTGTCCCTGGGTGTAGAGTCCTCTGCTGGGAAAACCTAGAGGTGAAGATGTAGGGAAAGCATCGAAGCTGGATTCTGCCAATAAAGCTGACCATTAGGAGACGGTGGGGAAAGGAGCTTAGGCCGCCTGACAAGGGGAGAGCTGGGCATACCTGGGCGACAGAATCAATGGGCATACTTAACCCACTGCCTCTGACACAGACAAGCTACATATCTCTAGGGAAGCCTCCTTCCATGGAGTCTTAGCCCTCCCTCTAAAATAAGAGAACTTGAACTTGATGCTCTGGTGCTTCCTTCATTTCTGCCACTGGGACTATGATAGGGGATGATGGCAAGAGAGTGGATGTCTTTACATTTCTTCCCCTTTGCCTTGGTGTGTGGAGGTATGCTTTCAACTCTAACCATGGGTGCATTACTTTGCTTAGAAAGTTTCCCTTTTTGAGGCTGACTTCATCCTACTGGATGGAATTGCAGCCAATGAGAAGCAGTACCTGGCTGTCCCCGTTGTCATACTGAAGATGGAGCCCATGGTCATCCAGGTGAGGTGTCCTCAGAAACCTCTGCCCAACACCACTCTGTTCATCGCCAACCTCTGCCAAGGGACAAACACTGCTGACTCTTGTCTCCCACCCTTGCATGGTTCAGTGATACGTGCCCTTGTATTCAGAATCTCCTTTCTACCTTACAGCCTACTTACTACTCACCTGGAATTGCCTTTTTGAGTCAGAATGCTGTTAGTTCTCATGATAAGGCTACTGAATCTTTTTTATCTATGATTCGGTGGAATATCCCTTCTTTCTTAGACACATTTCTCCCTTGGTTTTAATGTTTTCACACTTACTGTTCTCATCAGTTCATAGGAACTGTCAGTTATCTCACATGTCCACCTTCTCATTTCTATTCTACCATCCTAACTCACACCCTCATTGCCAAATGTGAAAAGGGAATCCAGAAGCCTGGCCAACCTTAATCGCTCTGAATGGTCAGAGCCATTAACTCATTTAATTGAGACTTAGGTAGTTAAAGCAACCTCCACCTGCTAATCATAATGTAAATTATTGCTGATTGTCTATTATTGGAATTTCCTGCCAAAAGGATATGGGTGTTCCCCATAGCCTCAATAAAAAGGGATAGCAAAAGCCAGAGCAGCAGTAGTCCCGCCTGGCACCCCATTCTCCCAAATTAACTCTTTTCCAGCCTCTCTTCATTTGTGTGCAGCCTGCTCCAGAACACGGAACCCTGAAGAGGAAGCCTGAACCAGGCGGGATGTAATAAGGGATCCCATACCTCATCGTTTCCCTCAGTCACACTAGACACCTCTTTCCAATTCCTCCTGCTTTGAACCTGAGCATCATGGCACTGACACCTCCCCACAGCACCTGAGAGGATGAGTGGAAAGGCCTTCATTCCTCTGACTATATTGTAATCCCTGGGAGACAACAATCAGTCACCAGTGTTTCCCCCAGAATAATAAGCATAGCTTCTAACACAGGAAGAAGCCAATGAATGCTTAGCTCCTCTTGGTTTCAGATCCAGCCTCCCAGCCCCAGCTGCCCCACCCCACCACTGTTCCTGCCCTCAGATCCTCCCCTTGCCTGGCTCCTGGCAAAGATGTGGGTCCGAAGTTCAGATTCCCAACTGCATGAGCTCCAGTATCACTTGCTGAGCACTCATCTGCTGGGTGAGGTCATCGCTGTGGCCACCATGAGGTGCCTCCCAGGACTGCACCCTGTCTTCAAGGTACATCCTCTACCCTCCTTGTCCCATCTCCCTCACATCCCAGAGGAAGGAAACAACACAACAATTCTCCAAGATTTAAAAAGCATAAGCCACCTGTTTGGGAAGAAGTTAACCAAGCTTCTTCTAATTGAATGAGTGTCCGTATTACTGTAATAAAAAAAAATCTTTATAGCAATTTTTAAACAAGGGGAAATTGTGTCAGGACCTTGCAACTTGTGCCTGTATTTCTAATTTTTAAATTATTTTATTTTGAGATAATCATAGGTCTTCGTGCAGATGAAGAAATAATACAGAGAGGTGCCATCTATTAAGTCAAATTACTTAGCAAATATTCAGCACTTATTGTAATGCAGTTCTGAAATTCTCCAGCAGAGTCTGCTGTAGAGCAGGAATGTAATTTGATAAAGTATTGCTGCTTTCAAAGAGCTAGCATTTAACTGGCAAGATAAATGGTATACATGAAAAATAACCAGAGAACTGGATATAGAGTCAGAAATCAAAAGAGAAAGCAATAAACACCATACTTTTTTATGGAGAATGTTCCACCACAATTTAGGATTTATTAAGTAGAAGGTCAAAGGGACAGAAGACCAGCCCAAGAGCTTATTTAACCTGCCCAATGAGAGGTGCATGACATGGTCATTAGACCAATGGAAAGGAAAATGCAAAGACTTTGTGATGAGAGGAAATAGCAGTTGCA